GTGAAAAATAATGCGTTTTTCGAACCACCAAGCATGAGAGCATGTTCTAGTACACCCCCAAAACAAAATCAAGACTTTGTAAAAGAGCATAATAGGACCCCTTTAACTGTGCATAAAAAGTGCATTCAATAGCTCAGCCAGGTCATGCAGATAAAGTCACCACATTTTCATTTTATTTGCGGTGCAAAAATTTAATTGGATTTGAAACAATGATCTTGCTCAAAATGTCTCTAGGAAAAAAAGGTTTAGTAGATTGTTGTCTATTTCAGAGGGGAAAAACAGATTGATTTCTTAGCTGTGGATGAAAACTATGATTTTGAATACCAGGACGTGACAAATTTGGGCAAAACTAAGACAGTGAAGTTGGTGAGTATGAAATGATTCGAATAGTTGAATATAGGGTGACCATACGTGCCATTTTCCCAGGACGCGTCCTGGCCAGGATTTCTATATTGCCTAAAATATCTAGGTTTACTGTTCTTCATGCAGCTTAATTCACTGCTTCTCTACATTAAAATGTCATTTTTATGTCTGCCCGCAGGGGGGCTCTCAACTTCAGATGAGATGTGTTTGGCCTTCCTCTTCTACTATCCAGCTATGAATCTGAGCGGCTGTATGAGCCTCCCTAATGCAACTACTTTAATATCTGAGATGGGAACGCCAGATCTAAAGTAATCTGCCTTTAAACACTAGCGTCATCTAAATGTCATCCATGAATGCATCTAGCTCTAATAATGACCATTGCTTTTATTTGATAATTGCAGTACTTGGCTCAATATGATGTCCATGAAGACTTGGAATGACACGTCTATCAATCAATACCAACAAACACTGAAGAGAATCGACCAGCTCGTCGTAATTGCGGATTCATTTGTAAGTGTCCACACCTCCACAACATACATCAATATCTTGTTTTTCTAAGTTGTTAACAATGTTTTGTATGATTTTCCAGAAAAACATATCACGCAACACAGGGCTGATTCCTAACCTCAGTGTCATCCCGTCTGCACCCTGCATGAGCGGTTGTGACACCAAAAATCTTGCTTTACTATGGCTGCTTCTCTGTTTGTTAGTGCAGTTCATGCAAAAATACTACTGATGTAACCTGTTGTTCTATTCATGTCAAAGATTAAAAGTCAATCAATCTAGATCAGGAGCTCCTGGCAGCTCCACCCTCACCCAATGGTTTCGATAACCAAACATCCTACAAAATAGCTTATGTACGTTACTGTAATTACAAATCATATCAGGGAAATGAGGGGAAAGAATATAAGAAAGGAGCTGGGTGTGATTTTTTTTTCTTGTGCTAAATAATTCATTCATGATTCAGCTTATAATTCGGTATACTTTCTCTAATATCATCTTCACTGCACATTCAATAAACAAGTGAAGACATTTAAAACTACTCTGACAAACATGAAAAAAAACAAACTAACATTTAAACTGACATGCATTGAAAATAAAGCCAAAACAATGGTTGTTTTCCGTTTTTGCTGTTGATTAATTATTTTGTGTTTAATATTGATTACTTCAGAAATGTATTACAAATATTCAGTGGCTTAAAAACTTTAAAATAAAACATTCAATGGCTTGATTTGACCATTTATAACATGTTTTCAATGTCTGAATTCAAAATCAGTAAAAGACATATGTAAAATAAATGCTAAAAAAAATTATATATATATATATATATATATATATATATACTTTTTTTTATTGAAATGTTGCTCAGCTTTGTAGCCGCTGGAGCAAAAAGTGTGACAACTAGCCCCGGTCACCTCATACCATGGTAATTTTTGCTGGTGTATTTACATAAATCATTAGTAGTATTATGTGACACTTGTTTGACAGTCACACAGGACACGCCCTTGCAGCCCGATACATTCTTAAGGTTTGTCGCTATATAATGTCGCTGTAAAGACGTAAAGGACTTTACAGCAGCACTTACTGAACATCTCGTCATGTCGCACGCTCCGCCGAACTTCTCGTGGGTCGAACCTCACAAACTCGCCGGACTGGCCTGTCCTTCAGAAGCTCAGCATTACAAGTTCCTGGTGGAGAATGGCATCAGACACCTGGTGTGCTTGTTAGAATCCAAACCACCGAAATGCGACACGTGTCCAGAGCTCATCCTGCATCACATCAGCATAGTGGACTTCACTCCGCCGAGTCTGCCTCAGATCCTGAGATTCCTGAGCATCGTGGAGGAGGCCAATGCTAAAGGGGAGGTGAGGGAGGAACAATTTTATAGAACAGGTCCATCGAAATAGAAGTCTACAGCTTCATTTTCACACAATATTTACAAGTTAGACGAGATGTATTTTGTACTTACGATACTTATACTAGTATTGGACAGCATCCGTTTCCTGTAAATCAAAGTTCTCTTCCGCAAGGGGGCGCTTGGCGGGCAAACATCCCCGAATACTCCATTGACGTTTTTTTTTGTTGTTGTTTTGAAGACATTACCATACTAAAAAGAATAAAAGTATAACGGTTCAAATCTCTTTATTTATTTGTTGTATTGTATATTACCAGCAATTTCTCTAACATGATTTAAAACAACATTCTTATTCTGTAACCATAAACGGCTCTCATTGGTCAAACCGAACAACAGCGCGGAGAAAAGAAACAGGTACCACGTGACGCCGCCGAGTGGGAGCTCCGCTTGTAGCGGTCTGGACAATATTTAACATCTAAATAACTACAATAATATATATATATATATAAGTCGTGGCCCGCTTTCTTTCTTATATTATGAATCCGTAATAATTGATCTAGAAATCGAATTGAAAATATATAGCAAAGATACAATATAGTACAATTATGCATTTGTAGGCTATTTTAGACAAAAGCAATTTGTATTTCCTTTTGTTTAAGAAAGAGATCGTTATATTAGTTTAATATCTGTAAAATTAATGTTTTTCTGCAATTAAAATGTGGGCAACTAACACTAGGTCAAAAACAATTTAATATAATTATAATGCTTAATAAATTATAAGTAGCTTATTGAAACGGAAATGCTATAAACATTTATTTCCAAATAAGAACTATATATGTTACCTCTCTCTCTCTCTGTCTGTATATATATGTTCACACACACACACACACACACACACACACACACACACACACACACACACACACACACACACACACACACACACACACACACACACACACACACACACACACACACACACACACACACACACACACACACACACACACACACACTATCAGTTTGTGTAACAATATTGTTATAGCCTAAGTGTCAACCAAATTTGTAGTGTTTTCATAAACTGCTGTCAGCCAGATAAAATCTGATTTTGGTTCTGTGCTCCTCAGGCTGTTGCGGTTCACTGCATGCATGGTCATGGCAGGACGGGGACCATGCTGGCCTGCTACCTGGTGAAAACAAGGCACATCTCAGGTCTGGAAGCCATCAAAGAAATCCGACGCCTTCGAAAAGGGTCCATTGAGACAAATGAGCAGGAGAAAGCAGTGATTGAGTTTCATAAATACATTCAAAACTGTTCTCAAAACTGTTGCCAAAAACATTAACTCCACACCTACAATTCTGTCTGTACACTGACAGCTCAGTGTGATCCACATCTGTGCCGTCACACACCCACAGAGAATTAAGGTCATGTTTATAACTGAAGTCCGGTTAATATTGAACAGAATATGTAAATTGGGTCAAAAATGCTTATGTTTGTATTCAGATCTACAAACTTATCAAAAAATGCATTAAAAATAAAATTCATCGACAATGACTTGATTTCACCTTTTCTTACATGTTTTCATTTTCTAAATTAAAATCTATTGTGATTTTTGTGGGTCAAAGTAGAAAGTGTTTGGTATAACTGTCTTTATTGTAATGGTAAAAAGTAATTAAAAGGCTGAAATTATTATTTGTTTTTTTGTCAGCATAATCTTATTTTCTTTCTTAAAAAGAAGTGAAGCAATATATAAACTATGATAATCCCTACAAAAGATATTAGCTTTTTTTTATTTTAAACAATATTACAGACATACATACATAGTGTATATATATATATATATATAATTTTTAATTATTTAAAATATATTTCTCAGATATTGAAGTATATAACCTCAATAAACCTTCAATATTGTATCAGCATAATCAAAAAACAAAGTGTGCTGTTACACTCACAAACATACATTTATTCTCACAAAACACAATTTTTCTGCTTATTTGTAAAATCCATATTTATTTATGATTTACAAAAGCCTATGTAACAACCATTAAAATGAATCAAATGAATTCATCTTTAACTATATATATATAATTTTTAATGATTTAAAATATATTTCTCAGATATTTAAGTATATAACCTCAATAAACCTTCAATATTGTATCAGCATAATCAAAAAACAAAGTGTGCTGTTACACTCACAAACATACATTTATTCTCACAAAACACAATTTTTCTGCTTATTTGTAAAATCCATATTTATTTATGATTTACAAAAGCCTATGTAACAACCATTAAAATGAATCAAATTAATTCATCTTTAACCTAAAATGAAAACACAACTGGGTGTGTATATGTGTCAGTTTATGTTTCTCAAAGTGGCAAAACATGTAGGATATTGACATTACCCTTATGCATTATTTGATTTACAAAGTCTGTGTTCTCTGGAAAATTATTTACACATGCGCCAACAGGTCTAGACTATAAATG